TCTTGTGTGTGTCCTTCTTGGGCACAATTATTGCACCTTACAATTGAATTGTTTACTCTGCAACTTATAGCCACATGGCCATTCTTGCCACACCTCGCGCATCTTAGATTCTTCGTTATCTCACACTGGCGCGACATGTGGCCCGGCTGACCACAACTATAGCAAATTATCTGTCTGTAATTATCCGTTCGTATGAAGTTGTTTATATTTCTTTTCTTATCTTCCTCTCTTAATATATTCTTAATATTTTCTAACTCTTTAATCTCTATCTTAACGTAAGTCGTATTTCTTCCTATAATTAAACCTAACGTGAAACTTAAAATTAGCACCAAAAATATAATTATACTTATATTTTCAAGTATTAAACTTAATAAATTTATTTGCGTAATATACATTAAAGTGTACTCAATAACCACTTGATTAAAATAATTTTAAATAATTTAAAAAAATTGTATAAATATAAAATTACTACTATAATAAATAAAAGTAATAATAATTTACATAACATAAAATAGATTTGTTTTTACCTTTGAATTCCTACGTGAATATCTAACAGGCCCTGATTTACTTCGGTCCAAATTGTTATAAATCCGAACTTACCTCAGGGTGTTTACTCAGTAGTGGGAGAGCAATTAAGAATTCAAAGTTTGTTAAATCTTTCCTTGAGTACCTTTTCTTTATTAACTCTTTCCTTTTTTATTAATTTTATTTTCAAAATATCATCAATGAATAATAATAAAATAATTTTCGAAGAATCCAAATTATCCAAAACTGAACTTCGAAGAATTAAAAATATATATATATATATATAAAAAATTAAACAATTTTCGAAGAATCAACTATATAAAAATTAAAATCTCATTATTCAAATATGTAAATCTTAAATCTAGTACAAATATTACCAATTTTCGAAGAATAAACATATAAATATTAAACTATTATTATTCAAATATAAAAATCTTAAATTTCGTACAATGTTAAATATACATAATAACAAAATTATAAAAATGTTAAATTTCGTACCATCTTAAATTTACATAATACTACAAGAAGCATTTTAAAACTTGAAATTAAACGTGTCCGTTTAAACTGAGAGAGGGCTGGCTGAGACACAGCGGATTAAATTCACAAGGGAAAAAAAAACTTGTATACAAAATTTGAAAATATTAATTTAAGAAATTATATTTCTAGCTAACTCATATGGTAAGTTTTAAAAAAGTGTACTCTTTTGTCTCGTGAATCCGTTGTGCCCTGATTCTCCCTATCATTTCAAATTTGCAAAATATCTTCTTCAAGTCGTATTTATTCAGTAGGGCTTAGAAATAATATGTATCAAGATGTCAAAATCATTATAGGCCTGGAAATAATTGTATCAGAATTTACAATATACGATGAGATATTCCAAACACAAATATAATACACTGATAAGTTTTTTTAAAAAATATTTGTTAATTTGTTCTCAAAATTGTTTCGAATAATAAATATATTTTCTGCTCCCAGAAGGTCCCCAGCCAGGGACTCGTAGAATTAAATGGCTTATTAATACTCCGACAAGAATTTGACATTTACTCAAAAAGAAAAATTCTTCGAAGATTTTTCAAAAGAAGATTATTTTGAGAATTCTCAAATAGTATTTTCTATCTAATTTTACCTAAAATTCCAAATTTTATTTTGCTAAAAATCTTTTATAAATAAATAGTTGGTGCTATCTATGCATAAAAAATGAAATCACAAATTTTTGTAAAAAAATATTTTGATATTCTTTTAAAGAAATGTTTGCTGATTGCGAAAAAACATCTTCAAATCATGAATATTTTTGTAATATTTTCATTCCTTTATTTTAATGTAAAACTACCATCATAGCCGTAGCCATGATTTTGCGAAGGGAAGTGGTGGGAAGCGTACTACTTTTATATTTTCCTCCTAAATTTTATTAGAGGTCTTTTAGGTCCAATTCAAGTAGGTTTTTGGCTATTAGATTTTTATGAAAATAATTTTGGTTTTTCAATTTTTCTAAAATGCACCTTTTTATCTAAATATTCTGAATTATGGTCATTATTTTGAAAAGATTAACTTTTACTAAATTTTGTTTCAATTTCATTTATATGCATTTTCGAGGAAGAGGGGGGTGATCCCTCTTGGCTATGCCTATGTATGACTACAATGTTTAATAATAAAATAAAATTTAAAAAATTAGATTTATTTTTGTTTATAATTATTGCATTATCCTATATAATTGATTTAAATTTATTATATGGTTTAGTCATTTTAATTTAACATTAATTAAGGGCAATTCGCAGTTTAATCATATGAATTTACCATAAAATAGGGTAATTCGTAGTTTAGTCATCTTTTTACATAATTTTATGTTAATTTAACATTAATTTGCGCAATTCGTAATTTACGTCCTGCCCATAATTAAGGTACAAAAGAAAAGACAATGTAATATTGGCTTTAGCAAGGGTAGATATTTAAAAAAAATTATACACTTCTGCACGAATATTCAGTGTGGTGGTCTCAGCACAGAAGATAGAATTTACTGACATGTTGAAGCCTCCTTTAGTGGATTGGAAACATATTTTTGTTAAATTAACTAAATTATATATATTAGAAATTACAATTATATAGGAAAATATTTTCTTAATTTTTCTTTCGAGCTACTTATCTAAAAATGGAATATTCTGTAGTGTCATTTATTCCTTCTCTTTTCACTAAAAAATATGACAGTTGTAACATAAATTATGCATGGATCCGGAACCGTTAATTAATATTACGGCTCGGTTATGGTCAGGGTCTACATGACATGACAGGATATTCACTTGATACAAACCTCCCTCAAAATATACCTTGAAAAAATATCGCCGCCTTCTCGGTGATATCTCTGCTTTAATAATTACACCTTTTCATTATAATGCTACTATCTACATATATTTTAATATGAATAACTTAAATTTTTAATGCCTTACCTACCAAAATATTGAGTTCAATTAAAAACTCCTACGTGGCATGAATATAAGTTTACTGATAGTTCTAATCCTTTTGAATTACATTTAAAAGGAAGGTAGATAATTTCCGGAAATAGTATTATTTTATTTACGTGAATTTAAGCGTCTATGTCTAATAATTATAAGTTTTGGTCGATGTTTAGCAATATTAATATATTATAATAGGTCTATAATAAAATAACAATTTAATATATCCCCTAAGAAATTCATCCTAACTTTTGGCATAACTCCCATAAATTCCTACCTCATACGCCCTTAAGTGTCTGTTACACTCAAAAAGATTGTATGCAAATTGTTCCTAACAAACCCCCCCCCCCTCTTTGTAGAGTGCTGGTTACGGTTCGAGGATAAAATTAAAAATTCACCTTTCGTCTACGATTTAGTTAATTAAATTTTAAAATGTTCCTGATCGGTTAGGTTTTATAAGGGTTTATAAATCCTTAGAAAATTTGTCATACATAAAAATAAGAGACATAAAAATGTGAATTATTTTATGTGTTGAGGAAATTATTGCAAACTATAAGAATGTATAATAAATATTTAAGATTTGTCACTAAAACTATAATTAGTATGAGTAATATAATTAGCTAACTCACATCATTGGTTTTCGTTTAAACTACTTAATCACCCAACCCCAAACTTGCTTTGATTATAGTTCTACAGTCGAGGGTAATAGAAGAGATAACACTCATTGTCGTTCTTGTAAATGTTAGACATAATTTTAGATTATCCTTAGAGCTTTGAGTTCAGCTCAAGTTTTATCTATACCTCCACGTTTTTTCAGATTTGATGGGAAACGTCCAGATAAAATTTCTCAAATTCCTTGTAAACGAGTTCAATTTTTGGTCTGGGATTACTTGTGCATTGATCCAATGGCTTCCTCCAATCAAACACTTAACACACATGAGAAAAGAGAGCAAATTAAAATATCCAAACAATAACATATTTATTCTTATAATTTCCACTACTTTAACAACTTTTGGGAATGGGTTTAATAGCATTTCTAAATTTTAACTTTGGCCAACAGCAGCGTCTACATGACAGGATTTCCACTGGATGCAAACCCCCTTCAAAAACCTTTGCCTACCCTTCTAAAAAATTGCCGCCTTCGGTGGCTGTGTCTATTTATCATTATTTTTATCTATTTATTTAATGATAGACTTTTCAAAGAATTTATAAAGGATAACTTAAATTAATCTATATCTACTACCAACTATCTATATTTTGTGATTATAAATAATTCATTTCCTCCATTATTTACAATGAATTAGTAATTATGGCATTATGAGCTTGCTAAAATTTTTAAACCTTTTAATTTACATTTAAAAGGATAGTTTATTTGGAAAACAATGTGTATGATTGTTTGCAATATATAGATTTGGTCGATGAATTGTATTATAATAATACTATAAAAAAAGTTTAATTTTTACAGCAATAAATTTTGTCCTATTTCATCTCAAAATTTAATAGATAACCTCCAAAAAAATTTATCCTACCCCCAATAAAGCAGCTTACCTCCTACCCCCTCAAAAAAATAGGAAGCGAACTGTTCCTATCCCTCCCGCTCTGTAGACGCTGAACAGTATATGAATAAATATGTAGCAATATAAATGAAAATTAGTTTATAATGAAAGTTTTACTTTTGATTATTATCAAAATTTAAATTTGATCAAGCAACAAAAAATCATTATAAAATATTTTAATAATCTAAAAGTTAACGTTATAAAAATAATAAAACCAAGCAGGAAAGAAATGTATCAAATAAATATTAATCCTAAATTATTGTCTTATGAGTCATTTAATTAGAATGGCCCGCAAATGGTTATGTGGTGATATAAATGAAACCACTAGAAAATAATTCCTAAGAAGTCACAGAGTCCTAAATCCACTTCTGTGTGTCATCATATCTACTTCTCCAGCCCTATGGTGCAAATTCATGTCATAAAAATAGTGGCGTCGTAAAGAATCAAAAATATTTCATTCATTCATTCATTACCACGCCAGAAATTTTTTCATCATTCTTTTAGAAGTAACAGCTGTTTTGTGCTCAATTTTTTTTTTTTGAATTTTACAGAATATATTGTTCAAAATAAATCTGAAAGGGCTATAAGGTTTTTTTATATTTATTTTGTAGTAAAAAAATTCTAAAATATTTATAATCTAAGGTTGAAAGAAAACAAATTTATTGCTTTTGTTGTATCATGTAAATGTATTTTATCACTTTTTTTATTTTAGAAACATTGCCTATCAGCTATTACTTTGTAATTCTAAAGTCAAATTAGTAGTTCAAGTTTCCCTATAGGGTTAGAGACTTTTTAAATTTGTTTTAATTATCATAATGCAAAATAATCAGCTTGAGAACTAAGAATTATGCCTAAATGGATTATATTTTCATTTCAAATTACTTAGCAATTATACCATCTTTCCTCAAATTATCTAGATAATATTTAAAGGGGGGATGGTGTATAGTAGCATATAAATAGTCCTGAATTTGCTAGGAGGGAAGCACCATATTGCTTGGTTTAGATCCACTTGTTACAGGTTGGCTGGGTTATATTTAAAAATGCATAATATAGTCATGTAAAAATTACTTACTTTTCTATAAAATTATTGCTTAGAAGTGTCCAAGTGTACATTTTTTTAGAACCCGGGTGAAGTGTAGGGGAATCAGCTAAAAGTGTTATTTGCTAAAGCAAGCAAGTTCCCTAATTGTTGGCTATCTCAATATATAGAAGATAAAACTAGTATTTATTCTTAATTTAAAAGTAGATATTTAAAATAAGAATAAAAAGAGAACAAAAGGAGGTGAAAAATTTCAATGGCATAATTATGGGTGCTGAAATAAGAGGTATGCAATGGTCAAGTTTTTAACCCAAAAGCCACTCCACCCATTGCTTAATTTAATCTGTTGGTCCAATGTTTAAAAAAATTTTATTAGTTGATTTGGTTTAAATTATTTTTTTAATATAAATCAATTCTGTTCATATTTCCACCAAAAATATTACAAATTCATTCGCTCATTGCTAACCCATTTTTTTTAAGATAATATTTTTAACCCACCTACTCACCTGCCCAATGCTTATAAATTTTTAAATTACCCACCCATCCCTTAGATGGAATTAATGGATGAACTACAAAAACTTGCCCTTTGCAAGTTTATATTATAGGAACTGAGTAGGGTGGTGCCAATCCACACATTTTCCACCGAATCGATATTACTAAAAAAACGATCCTCTATTGTATCGATTGTTATTTAGAATCTATCTTTGTTTCAATTTGTTATAAAGATATCAATATTTTCGTTTTTAACGAAAACCCAATTAACTTTCACAATATCACTCTCGAATTTTGTATGACCAGACCAGTTAATTTAGATAACAAAAGGGGGGGGGGCAATTATTACTCAATTATGTTGATAATTACGGTCCACGCGACTAATACAAAGTTAGGGCATGTCAAAACAACTTGTGTAAGGCCTCATTTATAGTAAATGCATTATGTTCAAGAGTCAATGAATAGATATAAATTTATAAATATGAAGAGTTAGATGATATCACTATGATAAAATTTGAAAAACATATGTTATGATGCTTTTATAAAAAAAATATGCCATACGATTATCTAATTTATATAAACTCCATAATCAAAACATGATCATTTTCGTATCATCTTAATGTATTTAAAATTTAAAAGGAGACTATATAAGTGTAATGTTAATTTTTATGCCATCTACCTATTAGCATCGAACCACAAACCTTCCTTTTCAGAAGTGCACGCTTTGGGCATGCACTAACTTGAATTATAATTACATTTTTATTAATTATATTATATTAATTAATAACTGATATTTTTTAACTTTTGCCGTTTATTACCATATTGCCTAATTTTTTATGACATAATAAATTTAAAAATTTTTTTCCAAGCCAGGAGATAGGTAAATCTCTAAAAATCATTTTTATTCCTTTTAAGGGAATTTATTGTTTTCATTATATATGGGCTAGACAGGTTAATGATAGGTATTCCCTTAAGGTAGTATCTATCAAATTTGTATTTTGTTTATTTTTCATTTGGATAGAGATACTACCAAATTTATTTATATTATATATTTAAAAATCGTTAATTTTATAAAACGTCAATGGCCTATTCGGTAAGAGCCTCGCTTACCAATCCGATGGTTTAGGGTTCGAATCCCTGCAAATATCATTTTTTTCTCAGTTCCGTTCTTGGGGGGGGGGGGGGTGATATAGAAGGCCGGACTCGACCACTTAAATAATAAGAATCTTATTTAATTTTAATAAATTTTGGTCTGGTATTTAGAAAATCCCTATACGCTGACTTGGTAGAACCGTTTAGATATTGGCCTTAAATTTTTTTTGCAGAGATAGCCAACTCTGGTCAAAAAAACAAGTCCCATTCACCTTTCATAAAATTTTGCCATCTATTTTTTTATTGTAATTTAATAACAAGGACTTAAATTTAATTTCATATTCCATTTATTTTTATCGTAATTTAATAACAATGTCTTAAATTTTATTTTGTATTTAGAATAAAATTTAAATTTGTGATGGAAATCGTATTGGGTAAAATTTAAAAATAGAGATGCTTGAAAATTTTTTAATTTTAAATATGGGCTAGACATTGGCCTTTTTTGCAGACATGGTCAGGCCTAATCAAAAAACCAAGACCCATGCAACTTTCATATTCTGATTGTATTTTTAAATGAATTATGTCTTTTATATATTTTATATCATATGGTCTTTGGCCGGCTTGAGGAAATTTTCCTAACATTACTATGTACATGAACCTGGCTTGGGAATTTTTTTAATATTAGACATAATATTTAACACAGAATATTTATATGGGTCTCAACTAAAGTCTAATTTTTTTAAATATATTTTTACTCAAAAAATAGTATTCACTTTTAGTCCTAATGGGCTGGCCTTGGTCTGAAGTAGGATTGAACGGGATTAAAAAGAATAAAAAATAGATATGGTTTTTATTAGGGATGTATCGATATTTTTTATCGGATTGGGCCGATATTTCACCTATTATAAAATATCGATTATCGGCCAATATTGTAAAATTTGCCGTGCCGATCCGATCCGATATAAAATGGCGTCCTTAACAAAAATAAAATGTTATAAATTTTTTAAAAAAAGTTATAAATCATTTATTTTTATAAATAAAATCGAAATCCATTTTTATGTATATTTTTTTAATAATAATAATTAATTAATAAACATTCTGCCATATTATTTTTTTGCGCATTCTGTTTATAAAAGTGTGCTATAATCTCTTCAGAATATCTTTTTAGTGAAGCTGGTAATATTGACAGTTACCATCGCCTGCAGGCTGATTTCTGATAAATTGGAAATTTTGGTATTTCTAAAAAGAAATCTTCGATATATTAATATTATTTTAAATATTTATATCAAATTTCATAATATATTTGTTTATTACTTATCATGTATATAGATTAATTTTGTTACTTATTATATAAAAGTGATTGATAATAAAAATATTTTATATACTTTTAGGCAATAGAATTGAATATAAACTATAACTGATCATTATAATATATTTAAATGACATAAGTTATGGTTTAGTTAAATTATGGATGTTATACTAATAAAAAGTATAACAATTTAAAACCATTGGTATCTTTCTTTACAGAATACAAAATTAGATATGATATCATCGGTTATCGTCCGATATCAATTTAATATCTGGAATATCGGATCGGATCGGCCTCCAAAAAGTGGTATCGGTACACCCCTAGTTTTTAGAGATTTACCTAGTTACAGGCTTGGGGAAAATTTTTCAAAATTATTATCAGCTTGGACCCTTGGGATTTTTTTTACTATTAATTATGGATCAGACATTGGCCTAAAACAAATTTTTTTTGCAGGCCTGGGCTCGGCCTTATCAAAAAAACCAAGGCCCATAGAATCTGATTTTGATTGTATTTTTAAATTCATTATGATTTTTTTAAAATATTTTATTCCAGTTCTCACCTACCAAAGAGGAAATTTTTTTCAGAATTATTATGGCCACGGATCTTGCTTGGGATTTTTTTTTTAATATTAGGCATAGGTGATCAGTATTATTATAACAAATAATATTGTTGTGGGTGCCAAGTAAAAGCTATATATCTTGACTCAAAACATGGCATTTACACTTAGTTTTAATGGATTATGGCCTGGCCTGAAGGGAAGAGGAGGTTATTAAGAATAAAAATTGGATATTGTTTTCAAATAACAGGTAACAACTATCATAAAATTAAGGAGAAAATTCTCAGTTCCCCGTCATTTTTGACGGACTCAGTAATGCTGACTAACGGGAGCTCTGGTACTCTTAGTTATTATATTTTTCATTTTGCCCATCAAGAAAGACGGGTCATCATACTTTTCTCCATTATTCGATGATAGATGAATCAGAAATTAAGAATATCTTATGAGGTGTGATTCACAAATTTACCTCTTTTTCTCCTAAATTTTAATATTTTTATAAAATATATTAATTAAAGTATATTTAATACCATATACACAGACTAACTAAGTACCCCTCAACCCCGTCATTCTTGACGGGTTATTAGCTAGTATAAATAATTAATCGCTGAATATCGATTAAAAGGTCTATGATTATTTCTTATATAAATATTATATCAAATAATTATCTCTATTTTAGCTCATATCTAAAATCAGTTTTTAAAACTGAATCAGCTGTAATAACGCAACGCTCGAAGATAACGCGTTAGCTATAAATGCAACGTAAGAAACCCCCCTTTTTGAACGATCTTTACACGTCGAGTCGTATACTATTAACTCTTTTATTCAATTACTTTCGCACTTAATATAAAATGGATCAATTTGATCCGAAAAAACGGCTAACCCAAAGAAAGATAGAAAATATTATGCAAGCACGGAGCTTTTGTTCATAGATGGCAGCGCAGGTTTGGTCATATTTTTTTAGATAGATCTCGAGGCTTATTGCAATATTTTTCTGGATAAAATATTCGGTTAACCGTTTTTTAAAAAAATCGCCTTAAATCAAGTCGTTAACAACTATCAAAATAAATATTTTTTAAAAAAATTAGTCCTTCGGAATGAGACTTGCAAAGCTTTCCTACAATTTGCTTTTCTGAAATTAAAAATGGCTAATTTTTGCCCCGGCGCCGCGCGATTTATCAGTAAATTTGCATAGGGCGAGCACTAAAATAGTTGGTAGGGGCGGGAACCGGTGTTGTTTAAAAGCTCGAATTGGGTCTATTTTTAAATAGAGCCCGATTAAGATTTTAGCCAAAATCCCAAACCTTTCTTCCAACTAGTCGGCTTTCATCCAGAAAAATATTACGCAGTCCCGAAGATTTTGCTCATACGAAGGTTTAGGCCTATATTATCGAAATCTCAAGGCCTAGGCAATATTTTTCTGGCCAAAATATTGAGTTCCGTTTAACAACACTACTGCCAACTATGACCAAAATTCATGGGGCTTACACCATCTTAATCTGGCCCTTTTTTAAAAATCGACCCCTAATCGGGCTTTTTAACAACACTAGCGGGAACGGTAGAGATGAATATACATCCGAAAATTTGGGAATATTTAGCAATTTCCAACTGCTCCACCTATCTCGAGGAAGTTGTTTGGGAGAGGGGTGTGGGGGTTTGGTTGGATGGAGAGCTAATGAATCCATACAACTACAAAAAAAAATGGCAGAATTTTGAGGCTTTATTTTATTCATCATTTTTGCCAAAATACAAAATAATGAAAACCGAAATGAAGATAGCAATCAATTTGAAATTCGGGTATGCCATACTCCGCCAGAGCGTTTACGTCATTTTTTGGCATCAGAACTTTATTTGGGTGAACTTAAGAACAATTTTTTTTATAACCCAATGACACGTATGACGAAGCATTCATAAAAATGCAGTTCAAAGCGTCGTTGAATGCAAATCAGCTGGACCCGCCATTTTGGTAACCCATACCGTATAGTAATTATTCTCATGTTAAAAACTACTATTAATTAAATCGATAATTTGCTTCCTTATTATCTCGATGATCAGGCAATTCTTTAATAAAACTTGCGTCCGATTGGCCTCTCGTTTAAAGTTTTTTAAAATAAGGGTAATCAAAATGGCGTCTCCAGCTGTTTTTATTGATGTACACTTTTAATGTGTTATTTGTCATTGATAATAACCTTACTTTACAATTACTGTCATTTGTTTCGGGTTATTGGGGGACACTATTATTTTATTTTTTTATAAATTAATTTTAATCTATTAAATTATTATTTTATCTATTAATTTATTTTAATTTTGTAACAAACAATTTTTTTTATTATAAATTTAAATATTTTCAAAATGAAGGTCACAATTTCCCCGCAAATTTTTTGATATTTATTCTTTATAGACATAACATAATAAATAATTCAATTAAAACTTTCGCGGGCTAAATCATTTATCTAAAAAAAAATAGAAATTGGGGGGGGGGGGGGTGGCTTTTAATTTAATTATTATTATTATTTTAATATATAAAAAATTATTTTAATATAAAAAAATAATTGTATTCATTTAATTATTTCAAGTTCAAGTTTAGAGTATTTAATTTCGACGATTTTAAGAAAATAAATAAATAATAAATATCTTATTTTAAAAATACATATATATATATATATAATATTGATTTTTAAAAGTAAAAATAATTATTTTTGTTAAAATAAACAAAGTAAACCATCATTATTATTTTTTTTTTTATTTATATTCCCCCTCCCCTCACAAGATAATCTTTTTCTCAACGGGGAAACTTAAAAAACGCGAATCTATATCCAAAAAAAAAAAAAATTTGTCACTAATTAGGGGAAAAGATTTTTGCCAAACAATTTATATTTTCTAAAATGAATTTAGAAACAAAATTTACCGCGTGACTTGGATCATTCAAATTTATTGTCAAAAAATTGTCTATAAAATGAAATCACGTTTCTTAACAATCCTATCATTCAAAAGATTCTAAATTAATCTCCCTTTTTTTTATGATCACTACTTCTCCCGCGAGTCCGGTTCCAGTTCGAACCCGGTCTCGTAACGCCAAAAATGGTCGCAAAAAAGGCGGCACAGTTCGGCTATCCGATTCGGGATTTATAGATGATGACGAGTTAACGGATAATGAAGTTGCCATTTACCACGCCCATTGCTCAGATTGCTTTAGTACCCTAACCTGCAATTCAGCGATTAAATCATCGGGCCCTTTTCGGTGCCCTATCATAGACTGCCCCAATCGACCACATTGCCCCTTTCGATTCCACGCTTGTAAGCTCAACGAACATCTTAGTCACATATGTTCAAGGACAGTCGTATCTTGCCTTAACGCATTGTACGGATGCCCGATTACTCTGACACGAGATCGAATATCGGCTCACCTCCGGGTTTGTCCGGCCAGTGTGGTCCATTGTTCCTTTAAATGGGTGAGAAAGCTTCTCACTGGCTACAACGATGTTGCAAAGCAAATTCCAGCTTCTCCATTTCTAAAAAATAGCGGCACAAAAAATTTAGTCCTTTCCGACTCCCCCGGGAAGGCAATCGCGATTAGTAAAAGATTGTGCGATGATGAGATGGACTCTTCTCACGTGAATTACATTCATCAAGACACCTGGGACGGCTTTCGTAGGATCACGTGTTCCCATTGCCAGCCCAAAACGACTTCCCAAAATGAGATACATGAGTTTAGCCACAATGGCGAGCCGAATAAAATTAATCCACTAAGCGTCTCGAAAATGAATTTAGTCATAAAAGACGATCTTGAAGAGAAAAAAATGGATTCTCCTCCAGTTCAAACCAATGGAAACCTTTTAATACCCCTCAGCCAATCAAACTATGATTCTAATGATGTAATTCCCCTTGACTTAGCGCTCCTTTTAAGAGATCAAAGGAAATACTTGAAAGGCAATCCTAACTTTCTGAATCATCGCCTATGCCTCAATCCGGTGACTAAAATCCAGCAAGCCGAACATTCCCCACTTCGGACCAGCGATACCGCCGAAGAAGTTTTACCGCACCTAAACTCGGAAGCTAACTTAAAATTCAGTCGATATAAACCCAGCCCCTGGATAGGCTCCGCCCTCGGTCCCCCGTTCTCTTCCGACACTTTAACACCTCGCGATAATTCGGCGTCGACAAAATACAGTTTGCGTTATCAACCCTACATCACCAAGATTATGAATTGCGATAATGATGGTAATAACGTGAAACATAAGCCTTACTACGACCACAAGAGATCCCTTTCTTTGTACGATTATTTGATGTTGAAACGTAGCCAGGCCAAAACCCGGGTCCTCTTTAACTCGTCTAGATTACCCAGACCCCGATCTTATCCTCTGAGTCACGAAAACGAAATTTATTCGCTAAATTATGCCCCGATTTCGGAAATAGAAAATATCCTGAATCCGTGTTCACAAAATGTGTCGGAAAGGATTAACAAGGAGCCAATCACAAAATTCTATCAAAATCGCTATAATTCTTTTTTCCCACTAAAACAGGAAGTAAAATCTACTATTTCTTCATCACCGCCGCCGGTCCTTAAAAAGAAGCCTTCCATAAGCATATTGCTTCCGTCCAAAATCTTGGACCGGATACTGAAGTGCAGAAAAATATGCGTTGACACGCGCCTTAATTTGCTCAAGAACAACGAATCCTACGATAGCATATTGGCTAAAGCAGAAAATGTCGACCAAATTTTTCCTTGTAACGCGTTATTATTATCTTCGACCTCGAAAAATAGCTCATCCGGCTATGCTCAACTTTTTGAGCCGCCTACTAATCGCACGCCTTATAACGATGGTAATGCATTATCTTCCCCCGCGGTAAAATGTAATTCGAATTGGGATCGAGATAATGACCACCTTTCGAATTCTTCGGATCCTATTATTAGCGCTAACGATCTTGAACTGCATGATGATAGCTCCCATATCACCTAGTCATTACTGTCGCAGCTCAATTTACTCTAAAAATCCGATTCCGTTTGAGCATTCCATAAACAGTTCAACAAGCTGTGAAAGTGCGGGGAAAATCGCATTTTCTAATTCCTTTAATCATCATCCGCGTGACGATGATAACACTTCTTCGAATTCACCATCTTCCGTCACCCGAGATGTACAAAGCCCAAACTCTAGTCAACACGGTCCCGTAATTTACGAGAAAAGAATTCATTCCTTCGCCCGTTACACGTTTGACGCTGGTTCGGTTCACTATTTTGCGTGCGGTCAATACATAAGGAGGGACGCCTTCCCCTGGCATTATCTTAACGTGCACGCTCAAATAGAGAGCTACATGGAGGATTGGCTATTTCACAGTTGCCCACTTTCGACCCCTCCCTTTGATTCAAATATAAATAATACGGGCAGGAAACATTGCGATTTTGTAGCTACCAGATTACTCCCCCTATCCGGTACCCTAAAAAGTTTGACCCCCGTCAGCGGATACGCATTCAAGACGGGTTTCGAGGATAATAGGAAAGCAGGGGAATTGGTGTTTGATCGTATCGCCAACGCCATATCATTTAAACCATATTCATTTCCGCGTTTAGAAAACAACGATGACCCTATCCGAAGCCCATTTATGACGAGTTTAGGGGATCTTCCAACCGAGGCCATTTGCGAAATATGCATGAATCTCGAACCGCTTTACTTGCTCAACTTTTCACTAGTCAATAAAAGATTTTACGAGCTAGTCAGATCGCTGATTTTGCCTGTGAAGGGTATGGTGTTAACTAAGTGGGGCAAGACGGGTTCGTCTCCTATCCGCTGGGAAATTACCGATAAAGTAATCAAATATCATTATTGTTAACAATTAATTTATTATTTTATAATTATTATTTATTTATTATCTAAATCCTATTTTTTTTTAAAAAACGACATTTTAAATTTCTCGTTGCATTTAATTTTTAAAATAAACAAAAATACTCAAATACGTCGAGCTAGAATGGATGACAGTTGAAATCGAATAGCGGGTATTTGTAGAGGAGTTATATTTTTGTTTAATTGTTTTTAATAATCGTCTGCTCTTATAATAATAATGCTTAACCTTTCGGTGTTCACTTGAAATGAAATAACGTAAAACACTCTTGTGGGGGTTGGCTGTCACAAATGGCTCATACTTATAAAATTAAAAACCAAAAATCAATCTGATTTTTTAAATAAAAATGAAGAGGATTGCAAAGCCATCATCCTTGTATACATCAAAATTTACGGATTATATCGTTGAAGACTTGTCAGGTTATTAATTAGTTCTGTATTTTAAAATCGGAGTCACGTCTATCATCTAACTAAATTTTAATAACCCTCGTTAAATGTTTTAAATTTTTATGGTACTTCACGCCCTGCTTGCTAAATTTTATCTTGATTCTGGAATGGCTTCTAGGAAAAACAGATTTTTTTTTTAAAAAAAAAATCAAAAGGTTTATACATTTTGACATTATCTTGTTACTTTGTTACCCTTATTACCATATATAATTTTCCTAATTAAAAAGGTGATTTTTATAATATTTTGGAAAATAACATATATTTAGAAATGGGTTTTCCCGAAAACGTTCGCCCCCATAACAGGTTGGCAGTTCAATCCCAATTGCACGGCCGGACAAATTAGTAATCATTTGAAAAAGTGCCCCTCCTACGAAATAAATATTCCGGTAAATAGGATTTATATTTCGATTCTTTAATTTTTATGTGGGAATGCAACATATCAATTTTAAAAAAAGGGATATCAGACGAGAATTTTCCCTCAAATTTTTTAAATTGATTTCTTGACCCAACCACGGCAACCTTTTTTCTATCCGTATATCTAATTATTTAGAAACGTCCTTTTAGATATCCAATAGTCGATCCAAATTGGCAACAAGATGCCGTTATGGCCTTTAAGAATCTTCAAATTTCCAAGGTTTCCTCTTCATATTTTTTTAAAATTAATAATCTGTTTTTTTTTAAAAACATTTTAATGTAATTTAACAGAGAGCTGTAAAACGATACTTTAAAAAAAAAGTAACGCCTGTACAAGTGATATTACTTTACAGCATTGAACTATTTTTATATTACCATAATATTGTAAATTTAACGTTTAGTTAAGTTTAGATTTTGTATAATCTTTCTCAACATAATTTTTAGAGGATAAATTAAATTGCAATGTGTTATCATATTTTATTTTATTTTTTTTAAATAATATTAAGATAAACCTTAGGTGAATATAATATAACATAATTTTTTATTTTGTTTTTCATTTTAATTAGATATCCTTGATCGCATTCAATCTAATATAATGCAACTCTTGCTGTGTGATTTGTAAATTTCATTTGTTTCTGCCTGCTTTTATTATATTTTTAAAAAAAAAGAAATTTTTTTTTAGCTTGAAATGCTTTAATTTTATTCATCAATCAAGTTTATTATAAACAACAAATTATGCCTTTTTTCCCCACCTTTTTTTAACATTCTATTTTGCTTTTTTTTGCCTATTGCTGTGTTTTTAACAAATTTATTATTTATTTTTTTTTAGAATCTAAAATTGCTCAACAATAATAGGATAATCAAATCAATGCAAAATAAATATATATATATAAATTCAAATCCGTTTTTAACATTTTTAAAATATATTTATTATTGATTGATTGGAAAATTATTTTATAACCTATTATTCTAGCCCAAGTCCAGAAGAAGGGATTACAGAGCCTACTTTATGAATTATTATTCCAAATACAAATGAAATGATTTATTTTTCTATCCAATACCTATTTAATTTATAGAAATCATAAAATTACATAATTTATTTTAATATTTTGGATTGTTAAATTATAAAAATTTTTGACAAATGGTTTATATATTTTTAAATGTGAAATTAGCAAACAAAAATTAAGCAAAATATATTTATTTATTTTATATGCAGATCAATTAATTGATATTATAAATATTTTAATAACTATTTCGAAAAGTAGGTTGGGTACCTAATATGTAATATATTTATAAAAAAAATAATATATCAAATTAGCTAATATTTTGAATAAAATCAATTTAATATATATATATTGATTATTACAAATTAATTTGTTTCCATTCTTATCTTGGTTATATTTTCATCATTAAGATTAATAACTAAATATTATTTGAAAATTTCAATTTTAAACTTGACTTATTATTTTTTCTCTTACTTTTAATAAAAATATATCAATCATTTAAAAGTTAAAATTTTTTACAATCATATTAGACAAAATATAAGTTTTAACTTTAAAATAATCTTTCTAAGGTATCATCTTTATATATAAGTAAAAAAATTATTCACCTTTATTTGGATTCCCTCAAAATTAAGATCTTATTTGGTATAATATAATTAATATAGACTTTAATATAATTAGTATATAGATTTTAAGTTAATAATTATGCAATATTATAAAAATATGTATTTAATGCAAACATAATAATAAATGAAACAAAATTAGATCAAGACACATATTATTTATTTATTTTTTGATAGAAAAATATTTTGCTAAAGGAAATATATAAAAGTAATTAGGCTGGAATTTTATTATATAAAAAATATTATTCAAAGAAAAAATTAATCAAATCTCTTAGTAAAACAAAAAAATGTCATTTTTTAATCATAGAGGAAAACAAATTTTCAGGAAATATTGCACAGTATAAAAAATATTATTGGTTTTAATATTGTATTTTTATAATAAATTACACTTTTTTACACATCCAATATGTTGGTTTATTATATTTTTGAATGTTAGAATTTTTATTTAAAAAATTATTATCTAATTTAGTGGTAAAATCATGATTTAAATGTAAAAAATTTAAATCTTTTAGTATGTTTGAATGGATACCAAAGCTGGCAATTGGTTGACAAAAAGAGTACCCCAATTTTGTATAAAATTCGTTTTTATCGATTGTAGTCAAATATATAGATTTATAACATAAATATTTTGCATAATCTTCAGCTTTTTGCATTAACAATTTCCCAAAACCCTTGTTTCTGTAAGATAAATGTATGACTAGCGATTCTATTAAGCAAGAATCGGATATTCCTACAACCGAGCATAATCTTACATGTCCGATAACCTAAAAAAGATGTGGACATGAAATTATAATTAATTAACTTTGGGGCAATTTTCACTATTAGTAATCATTATAAGCGAGCAGGGTAGTGTTGTAGCATTTAAAGATTTTTCTAGTGACATAACTCTAGCCCGAAGACTTCTTTTCCATTGCGAATTTAAGACCTCAGCTGCCTCGTTTATTAAATTTTTGCAATCACCTAAAGGTTTTACAATAACTTCATTTACCATATGATTTAGTGAATAAATGAATATATTTCGTTCATAAATATATTTTTTGCTAAATCATGACTGGTTTACATATTATTTTTTGTAGTAATGACATATTACTGACTGCTAGAGATAAATAATTATAATTTTTCTATTAATTGCTAACTATATAGTATATCTTTTAATATATTTGTTAAATTTCATATAAAATCAACAGAAGGTATACCGAATTTTAAAGAAAAACTATCATAGTTTCGATCGAGAATTAAACTTAGAGGATACCTCAAAAAAAATCAACTCGAGGCTTAGCGAATTTTTTCACTGATTAAGTCGTTTTAAAAACTATTGGTAACTAATAGTCCCATTTTAACAAAATCTTTATAGAAACTTGAAATTTTTATATAGGTAAGTTGTTAAAACAAATCAATCTACTTTAAAGGAAATAATAAATTTAGATATTTTTATCAGGTTCTTCAATGTCCTTTTGCCAATAAACAATTTTTTATTGATTGATTTTTAAAAAAATAAATTGTAAAGAATATGTTGAGTAATAAAAAATAATTTTTACTATACCAAATTAATACGAAAAATTTCGAATATTTAAGAAAATAACAATTTTGATTTAATATTTACGAATAATATAGAATAAATGTAACAAAAGACGAGCTAATTATTCGACGATTTTTTTTTTATCTCCATTTTTAATATTTGATTCAAATAATGTGTTTAAATCTAAACGCAATATACAAATAATTCGTTTTTAGTCTTTTTTAACAAATGAGGTATATCTTGGCAATCTAAATCTAA